TATTCTGGAAGAGTTTGATAAGGATAGATACTAAGTCTTCTTTGAATGTTTCATAGAATTCCACAGGGAAGCTGTCTGGTCCTGGACTTTTGTTTTGGGGGAGGTTTTTGATTACTGTTTCAATCTCCTTACTGGTGATTGGTCTATTCAAATTCTCTATTTTTTCATGATTCAGTTTTGGAAGGTTGGATAATTCAAACATTTCTTGCATTTCTTCATAAGTCGCATTCCTTCTAGAATATCCAATTTGTTGGTGTATATCTTTTTGTAGTATTCTCTTATAATCTTTTGTATTTCTGAGGTGTCTACTGTAATTTCTCCTCTTTCATTTCCGACTTTATTTATTTGAGTCTTCTCTCTTTTTTTCTTGGTGCCTCTAGCTAAAGGTTTGTCAATTTTGTTTATCTTTTCAAATAGCCTGCTCTTAGATTTTTTTCTATTCTTGTTTTAGTCTCTATTTCATTTATTTTCACTCTGATTTTTATTATTTCCTTCCTTCTACTGACTTTGGGCCTCATTTGTTCTTCTTTTTCTAGTTCTTTTAGGTACACTGTTAGATTGTTCATTTTTCTTGCTTTTTGAGGTAGGCCTGTATTACTATAGACTTCCATCATAGTACTGCTTTTGCTGTATCCCATAAATTTGGGCATATTGTGTTTTCATTTTTGTTTGTCTTCAGGTATTTTTTAATTTCTTCATTGACCTAATAGTTGTTCAGTAACATTTTGTTTAATCTCCACATATCTGTGGCTTTTTCAGTTTTCTTCTGGTAGTTGATTTCTGGTTTCATACCATGGTGGTCAGAAAAGATGCTTGATATTATTTCAATCTTCTTAAATTTATTGAGACTCCTTTTGTGGCCTAATATGTGATCTATCCTGGAGAATGTTGCATGTGCATTCAAAAAGAATGTGTATTCTCCAGTTTTTGGATGGAATAAGTCCATCTTGTCTAATGTGTCATTTAAGGCCAATGTTTCCTTATTGATTTTCTGTTTGGATGATCTATCCATTGATGTGAGTGAGGTGTGAAAGCCTCCTACTATTATCGTGTTACTGTCTATTTCTCCTTTTATGTCTGTTAATAATTGCCTTATATATTTAGGTGTTCCTATGTTGGGTGCATAGATATTTACCAGTGTTATATCCTCTTTTTGGATTGTTCCCTTTATCATTACATAATGCCCTTCTTTTTCTCTTCCTATAGTTTCCATTTTAAAGTCTATTTTGACTGATATAAATATTAGTACCCCAGCTTTCTTTTCTTTGCCATTTACCTGGAATATCTTTTTCCATCCCTTCACCTTCAGTTTGTGAATGTCTTTAGGTCTGAAGTGTGTCTCTTGTATGCAGCATATATATGGGTCTTATTGTTTTATCTGTTCAGCAACCCTATGCCTTTTGATTGGAGCATTTAGTCCCTTGATGTTTAAAGTAGCTATTGGTAAGGTCATAGTGATTCAAAGCCCAGTTTATTGAAAGTTATTTGGGGAAGTTACATGTGCAGTGGTCAAAGGAACAGGACTTCTGGAATCATGGTCTGGGCTCAAATCTCATTTCTACCTACAACATTTGCCTCTTGGTGAGTTAGGGGCCTACCTGAGTGTCATACTTACCCCTCTGGGATATTCTGAGGATTAAATAAAACAAGGCATACAGCACACATAGTGCAGTTCAGACTTGATTGACGTTTGCTCATCATAACAATTGCGTAACGATTTTTTTTTAACTGTCGGATTGCCACAACTAACCAAGGATCCACCTGTGAGCAATCGTCTTTTCTAGACAGCATTCTCTACATCCAGGTCTTACGTGTGCTTTTCTTTCTTTGTTCCAAAGTTAAATGCTTTCAGCGGCCTGACAGCACCATCTCTCAGTTGAAGGAACATTTAAACAATGAATGATTGGCGAAATATCATTTTAAGTATAATATGTCTTGGTGTGGGCCTCTTTGGGTTTATCTTGTTCGGTGCTCTCTCTGCTTCCTGTACCTGGATGTCTGTTTCCTTTCTTAGGTTAGGGAAGTTTTCAGCTATAACGTCCTAGGTTCTCTGCCCCTTTGTCTCTCTCTCTTCTCTTTCTGGGACACCTAGAACACAGATGTAGTATGCTTGATATTGTCCCAAAGGTCCCTTAGAATGTCCTCATTCTTTTTCATTCTTTTTTCTGTTCAGCTTGAGTGATTTCCTCTACTCTTTCATCCAGCTCACTGATCCATTCTTCTGTGTCATCTGCTTTGCTGTTGATTCCCTCTAGTGAATTTTTCATTTCCTTTGTTGTATTCTTCAGTTCTGATTGGTTCTTTTTATGTTTTTCAATTCTTGTTAAAGTTCTGTGTTCATCTATTCTTCTCCAAGATCAGTAAGCACCTTTATGACTATTAATTTGTACTCTTTATCAGGTAGATTGTTTATCTCTGTTTCTTTCAGTTCTTTTTCTAGGGGTTTGTCCTGTCCCCTTATTTGGAACATATTCCTTTGTTTCCTCATTTTGCCTATTTCTCTGTGCTTATATCTATGTATTAAGTAGATCAGCTACATGCCCTGTTCTTGGAGATGTGGTCTTATGTGAGAGATGCTTTTTGAGGCCCAGCAATGTGCTTCCCTCTAATCAACAGTTCCAAATGTTCCAGGTGTGTCCCCTGTGTGGGCTACATGTGCCCTTCTCTTATGGTGAGGTTGCTTTTGCTGCAGGTGCATGGGTAGGCTAGACTCTCCCCCTGGCCAGCCAGTTATAAGGCTCAGCTGTTTGCAGCTGCTATGATCACTTTAGTCACTTCATTGGGTGGAGGAGCCCCAGGACAACTGATTCCAAGGTCTAATAGCACACACCTTCTGCTGTTTTGCTGTTAAGTGAGTCAGAACCCCAGCACGATTGGTTGCTAGTCTCAGGGGCTCACAATTGCAATAGGCCTCTAGCTTGAGAGGCTGTTATCAGCTCTCTCAGGAGCACAGCTGGGTTGGCCCAGCCCCACGTGTGGCAGCACACAATCCATTCAGGCTTTGGAATGTGGGGCTGGTCCCCTGTGTGGCTGTTTGAGAAGGCCAGTGGCACAAGACTTCATGCAGCCAACAAGCCCCACCACCCACACACCGCATCAATGCAGTCCTGCCCTGTGGGTGAATGCCCCACTGAAGGAGATCCTCTCTTCCAGACCCTGCCTATGCCAGCCCACCCCTGTGCATGCCCTGCCCCATGGAGGTGGACCTACTTGCCCCACTGCATAGGTCACATACACCCTGCTTATGAGGGTGCACAAGTTCCCTGCTCATTTTCTGGTGGGCAAGGCCAGTCCCTAGGGTGGGCTACCTTCACCTGGCTGAGCTGGATTAAATCAGTGCTCTAGTGGGTGGGGCAAACCTCTGCACTAACAGGCCAGGGGAAGAAATCCAATGGCATCTGAAAGCATCTGTGTCAGCACACCTGTACTACATCACAATAATGGCTGCCACCAGTTTCTCAGCCCCTGGTGAGGTGGTCCCAGCCACCTTCTGCCTCTCTGAGACACACTCAGAGCTTATCAAGTGACTCTCTTTTACCAAAGGCCTGTGCATCTTTCTTTCTAGTGACTTTGCATTGGTTTTCAGAATGGGTGAATTTGTGTGTGGGCCCTTCAAGAGCAGGTTTTTCTTTCTCTTATGTTCAATAGTTTTTCTGGGAGTATTCCCTGTTGGTTTTAATAGCCAGCAAAGCCAAGTACTATAACACTCATTTCAGTTGTGCTGAATTCAAAAGCTGCTTATTGTGGCATAGCTTTCCCACTCGGATCACTTGTTCCTCCAGGAAAAGTTACCTTAAGATTGCTCCTGGCCGTGAAGCACTGCAGCTAGAACGTGGGTTTTTCCTCAGCAAAGGGGTATTTCTGCCTCTTCCACCTCAGTCAGTGTTATCTCTTGTTGTGGGGTTTCTTTTTATCTAGTTTCTGGCTCTCTCGGAGATAATTATTCCATAGGTAGTTGTAAATGTGTTGTGTCCATTGGAGGAGGTGAGTTCACAGTCCTGTGCTACCACCTTCCCAGCAATCCAGCAACTTACTTTTAAATAGTTCATCAAAAGAGAAGAGGAACAAGCAAGCAAATAGGGTAAAATGTTAACAATTTTTTGGTCTAAGTGTAGGTTCTTGCAACACCTATGTAGTATTTTTTCAAGTTTTATGTGTATTGGAAAATTTTCATAATAAAAATTTGAGGAAAATAATGTATCCTGATCATCAAGTTGTTTTGATGAGTCAGCAACTTTCACTTTTTCCTAACAGAGCTAAAGAAGCATTTCTGTTATCCTAATGATGTGGATTAAGGCTGCCCGAGCTAGAGAAGCCCAAGGTGACCTCGCCTACATGCCAAACTATATGACCCGGTGGATTTTTTTATGGTATGAATTAGGGCTGCCCCAGGGAGAGAAGCCCAGGGCATCCTCACCTACGTGCTGATCTATATGGCCAGATTCGTATCTAAAAGTTATATGACTGCACAATAACCAGACCACATCTGCACTGAAATCATTTAATGACTTTTTACATCATCTTTTCTTTTTCCAGTAAAAATAAGTCACGTACCCATGCCTTATAAAATTAGCCCTAACCCTCAACTCAGGGCAGCAGCAGGAGTTCTGACTGTCCATGGATCCTGTCCCCATGCAGGAGCAGAAGCTCTGACTGCCCATGGGTCCTGTCCCCATGCTATTCTGTACTATTCTCCAAATAAAAGAGCACCACTGCCAGACCTTGAGAGTTCAAGAAATCTTTCTTTCTACTCCTCGGCTCACCGACCCCACATCACTAACATAGAAGTAAAGATTTCCTTATCCCCATGGAGTTGAGGGGGTGGGGAGGGCAGGGCTGATGGTAATGGCAGTATTATGCCTGTAAATTACTTCTCAGGACACACCTTTACTCCAGGCCATTTTGGAAACTGAAAGTGCCACATTGCTGCAATGTAAATGTGGGTGGAATCCCAGGTAAATTCTCACAATTGACTCTCTTTATCTGGCACCCACAGAGAAAATAAAAGCCATGAGAGAAGACATAAAACGAGCATCATTTAAGAGCTTCTGGCTGCTGACATGAGCTCTGGTTGCTTCATTTCCTAGAAGGATTCTTGTGCTGCTGGAGTGCAACCTTATCCTGCAGGTGAGACTTATGTATTTTGACCACTCAGGAGAAAACATTAGGTACCTGCTGCTGAGAGCTAGTTTCTCTGGGCACAATGTAGTGCAGTTCCCAAATAGCGGCAGGAGGTAATTCTATTATCATCTCAAATGTCTCTTTATTCTTCTTTTCTAACTGTTTTTGCACATTTACCAACAGCTAATGCGAAGAATGTGACTCAGATGAACTCCTGTGCAAACCCCTCTCCCAAGTTCTCCTCCACAATTTCATAGCAGATGCATCCTCTGAAAAGTAGAGAGAAGGTTTCTAGGCCTCAGTGATTAATATGTTTATGGATGGCTAGCTGCAAACTCAGTACCATTATCAAAGAGTCTCCTGCCAATGATAAAAATCAATATTTGCAAGGCATTTTACAATTTACAAAATGCCTTGTTATATTTGTTATTTCAATATTTTGAACATTCCTGAGTTGGGTATTTGTGTGAATACTCACTCCATTTCGTGGCCATTCCTTTAACCTGAAGCATTCAGTATATGCCTGAAAAATGAAAGAAGGTCATCGTGATTCAAAGCCCAGTTTATTGAAAGTTATTTGGGGAAGTTACATGTGCAGTGGTCAAAGGAACAGGACTTCTGGAATCATGGTCTGGGCTCAAATCTCATTTCTACCTACAACATTTACCTCTTGGTGAGTTAGGGGCCTACCTGAGTGTCATACTTACCCCTCTGGGATATTCTGAGGATTAAATAAAACAAGGCATACAAAGCACATAGTGCAGTTCAGACTTGATTGACATTTGCTCATCATAACAATTGCGTAACGATTTTTTTTAACTGTCGGATTGCCACAACTAACCAAGGATCCACCTGTGAGCAATTGTCTTTTCTAGGCAGCATTCTCTACATCCAGGTCTTACGTGTGCTTTTCTTTCTTTGTTCCAAAGTTAAATGCTTTCAGCGGCCTGACAGCACCATCTCTCAGTTGAAGGAACATTTAAACAATGAATGATTGGCGAAATATCAAAACTCTTGTCCTCAGAGTGCTCCTAAAGCATAACAATATGTTGGTGAAATTTAGTAATTTTTATAAAAAGTTACTTGAATTTCTTTCAAGATAAATCATCTACTTTAAGAATAAACTTTCTCCAACAGAAAAATTATGAGAAAGGTCACAATCTTCTCTTGTTCTCCACATAGAAATCCTTTGACTCAGAATGCCCTCACCATCACATTTGCATTTGTTTTTAACAGATGCTAAGATATGGGTTCCTTTTACAATTGAAATGTGCTACAAGGTTCCAGGATTGTGCTTGAGCCAGAAAAGTCTATATAAACTTGAAGAAGAGAGTGAGTTTTCTATAGCTTGATCTCTTTCGTAACTATAAACCTGAAATCTGCATTAACTCTTAATGAACATTAAGGCAAGTGGAAGTTCCTAAATTTTCCAAGGATAATACCTTTAGGTAGATACTTAATATTCTTAATAAATCCAAGTGAGTTAATGGGAGAGATCGGTAATGCCCTTTCTCCTTGCTCTGTCTCAAAGAGAGCCTTCTAGATAAAACTCAAATGCACTCCTCCCTGCCTGTCTTCCTCATTCCCCTGCGAGGCACCACACTCCCTGTCCTCCAACCCCAGCCCCTAGGCCTCTGTCCAGACTTGACCTGCAGCACTTTTCACTCTGTGGCCATGTGCTTACTGGTGAAGCTCCAGAACCACATGCCATGCTCCTCAATGCCAGGGACTGTAACTTAGCATCTTTAAAATTCAACACCTGATGTTTTGACTCTAACTCATGTTCCATAAATATTCATTGAACGCAATGAAGGCCCAAATGCTTTCCCAGGGATTTTTCTTCTCTTCCATAATCGACATAAATTTTTATAACTGTGTTTTGGCAATAATGCTCTTTTTCTATCCTTTCTCAGTGGAAATTTCTCACGTTCAGGGCTGACAGCAATATGAAGGCAGCCTAGGTCCTTTGGCATCCACACTTGGGTCCCAGGGACATCTCAAAATTAATTCCTGACTGACTTAAAATGCAGTAGATGTAATGCAAAGACAATTCTTTTTACCAAACTCAACTTTCGCCCATTTTTTTGGCTATATCTCTTAACCTTTGAGAGCTTGGACAGTGAAGTCACTGCGCTGGTTGTGCTGGTTCAAATTCCATTCTCACTATATTAACTGTGTGACCATGGGCTAGTTTGCTTAGCCTTTTAGTAACTCTCTTCTCTCAACTCTCTCAACTGTAAAACAGGGCAACCCTTGCAAGAGGTAAATGAATTGATACATGCAGAGCACTTAGAACTTGCCTGGTAGGAAGATTCCAAATGTATTGCTGCCATTCTTATTATTATTGTGCTGCTAGTGGTTGTTATTTCCTCAAGCAGCTGTGGTCCGTTTTAATGTGGGTTTTGTAGATGTCCTGTCTAACTTCAATGTGAAATGATTATGTAAGAATGCTCAAGTGTAGCAGAATATGATTACCAAAAATCAAGGAAGTGAGGCCGGCCCCGTGGCCGAGTGGTTAAGTTCGTGTGCTCTGCTTCGGCAGCCCAGGGTTTCACTGGTTCGTATCCTGGGTGTGGACAAGGCTCCGCTCGTCAGGCCACGTTGAGGCGGCATCCCACATGCCACAACTAGAAGGACCCACAACTAAAAATATACAGCTATCTACTGGGGGGATTTGGGGAGAAAAAGCAAAAAAAAAATTGGCAAGTTGTTAGCTCAGGTGCCAATCTTAAGAAGAAAAAAAAAAAATCAAGGAAGTGTCACCAAAACCAAAAAATGCTCTATTATTTCTTTAAAAGATGGGTCTGGGAAAAGGACACGTTAGCTCCAAGAAAAGCCTGTTCTATTGGTAAAGGCCTGGACTATGGACAGAGGAGATCTCCGTCCTTGATTCTGATATTGCCTATTTTATTAGCTAGTTATGTGACCTTGAATAAAGCTACTCAATCTTTCTTACCTCAACTTCTCGCTATAAAATAGCAACAACTGTTGCTGGCGTGACTCTCTCAGAGGAATATTGAAAGGATCAGGTGAAAATCTATAAAGACGTTATTTGTATTACAATGTAATTTTTATATTATTGAACAACTGCCTCAGGAAAAGCAAATTTCTATTATACATGAAATCATCAAGTAAGTTCAAATAATAGAAAATTGGCTGGACTGACAATCCAAAGTCTTGGTTTACTAGTCACATAATGTTGGGCAAGTCAAGACTCAAAGACCTTATGTCTTCAACTGTAAAGCTGTGCTAGTAATCTATAACCTACCTGTAGGTCAAATTAGATTACGTGTAAGAAAGTGTCCTGTAAATTGGAAAGATTCTTATTAATATAAAATGTTTTCATACTCATTATTTATACTATAATTTAAAAATTCAACAATTTTAGCAGTTGTTAAAATATGTATTCCGGAGAATTAACGTCTCAGAGGTAAGTTCCCTTGTACTAAATGCTGTATGTGTATTGCCATTGTTTTGATAATGTAATGAATATATCAGTTATCTTTTTCCTTACGAGGACATTTCTTCCTTCAGTGAATCAACATGGATTTAATTTTGGACACTGTCACATTTTGGGGAAAAATTCTACGTTGTCTTTTAGAATCTTTAATTTACAAGATAATTTCCAAGAAAGAAAAGAATGTTGCTGGAGAGATTGTACTTATAACAGGAGCTGCAAGTGGACTTGGGAGGCTAATGGCCATAAAATTTGCCAGCCTTGGAGCCATTTTAGTTCTATGGGACATTAATGAAGAAGGCAATATAGAAACATGTAGACTGGCCAAAGAAAAGGGTGACGTGAAAGCATTTGCCTATAAGTGTGATTGTACCAACAGGCAAGATATCTACCGAGTTGCTGATCAGGTAAGCTGACTGGTGTTTGTAACTTCTCTGCCCAGGAAAAATACTGTATCTAGTATGTACTTTTACAAAGAAAGGAGAAGAAAAGATCTTCATAAACTCCCCCTGAGATCTCTAGGCACCTCTCGCTTGACTCTGTATGTCAGAAATCTCATTGTGTAGCTTCCAAAAAAGAGGCACAGAATAAAATAATGCATGTGGGAATTTGATGAGCCTTCTGAGCTGTTGCCCAGCTGGTTTTTTTGGTGACTTGTTTACCATTGGGAGTCAGTAGAAACTAACACTAGTCCTGGCTCTGCTGCTCATTGGTTGTGCAATTTTTACCAAGTCACCTGCGCTCTCTAGGTCCCTGATTCTTTATCGGTAAAGTGAAAAGATCAGACTAGACAATCTTCAAGATCACATCCAGCTTTAATTTGTCCATATTTTATGATTCTAACACATATCCATTATCATCACGGACTGAGGATCGAAAGGGTGTGGAGTATAGGATAGAAGCATTTAGCATATTTCTAGACTTAATTTCATCTTTGATTTAGCCTATTGATACTCATTCTAACTTCACACTAAATATTGATAAGTACTCTAATAGTAAGAGCTAACATTTATTGTGTAGTTACCAGTTACTCTAACAACAATGGTCAAGCTTTTGAGTAGAGTTTTACCCATATTACCTTGAGTGAGGTGTGGTGAAACCAGACACACAGATCAAGATAGGGAAACTGCAAAGAGTTTTACGGTTACGCTCACAGTTCCCTGGGGAGGACACAGCATGCCATGTAGGGCCACCAGCGGAAACACTTGGGTGGTCAGGAGGGCATTGGGGGAAAAAATGGACAACAACATTTATTCTGGTTTCTGCAGGTAGGAACAGGAGAGGCAGGGTCAGCAGGTTTAGGATTGACAATTTGAATCATTTCGGCAGGTTCTGGGGCATAGAGGTTGCCCCTCATTGTCTAGTACCTTAACAGGCAAGTGGGAAACGTTTATAGTAGCACATGGTGTGAGAACCCAAAAAGGGGTTGGGTTGTGGTCTTAAGCAGCTGCTCAAGAAAGGGAACTGACTGGCCTCTAGCCAAGGTCTCAAAACTGGGTGAAGATAAAACAAAACAAAAAGCAGCAAAAAACTATATTGCAGGGAGCTATTCTAAGCACTTTATACACATAATAACTCATTTAATCCACACAACACAGGCTTCTTGGGAGTATATCATTATTATCATCCCAATTTACAAATGAGGAAACTGAGGAACTGGGAGAATATGCAACTTGCCCAAGAATTAAAACTAGTGATAGGCAGAGCCAAAACTCAACGCAGGTAGCTTGAAGTCAAAGTCTGATCTCCCATCCACTGCCCTATGATTGGAAAGGGTGCTTACAATGCAGTTTGATAACAGAATCCCCAAGGGATTTTCCCTTCCTTTGGCAATCTGAGCTCCAAGTTTAGAATTCACTTACTTATTCATTCAAAAAATATTTATTGAATCTCTATTCTGTGACACCTACATTCTGAACCATCCTCTTCAGTTTTCCCCTTCATTTTCAACTGCCTCCTTCTTTGTTTGAGATCCCATAGGATTTGTTCTTTGCCATTCATCACCATATGAATATGGTATTACAGATCTCTAAGTGTATTTTAGAACAGATCAAGTGGAATCAAAGTTAGTTCTTATTTTGCAAAAGGGAAAGAAATAGAGCAGGAAAGAGTCACAGATAAATGTCTTTGGAGTAAGCTCCAAGAAGTAGTCTATCCAGCAGGGGGTCCAGTTCCAGTGCCACCACTGACGAGCCAGAGCAGGACTCCTGAAAAAGTCTGAAGCGTTATCACATATAACCTTCCTAATGAAGTAGGTACTATAACTTTGTCCATTTTACTGATGATGAACAGAGGCGGAGAGTGATTAAGGAACTTGACCAGGTCATAGAGCAGATAAGTGATGGAGGTGAGTTATGCCTCTTCCCACCCAGCATCAGAGCCCATGCTGCATCCCCAGACAGTTAGCAACGAATGGGTGAGCAATGAAAAGACTTCTTCATAATCCTCTTCCTTTGATCAAAAGTACTATACCTCCTGCACCTCCCCCCAATAAATCTTTCCTTCTTGTTTAAAATTTTCTTGCTGTCTAGTAAAAAGCCAGGCTGAAAAATTTAACCAAAAATTGTCTTTTCACCTTTTGAATGTATCTTAAACTTTTTTTCTTTTCTCACAGTCCTATAAACAGAATTATTTTAAGTCAACTACGGTACCTGCTTTTCTGTTTAGCTTCAATTATTCGTCAGCTCCCAAGAAACCCAAATACTAGCATTAGACTTTGCCAGAATTTCAGCAAACCATGGGCCTTACCCAAACCCCTGAAATTTGTGGGCGAGTTGAATAGCAATAACAACATTCTAAAGGGACAGAGTCATTAACTTCCCAAAATTCGTTTGAGGTGACATTCTCATCTCTACCATAGTAACTCAGTATACAAATAAATTGTTTTTGTTAGAATAACTAGCTTTACACCTTATTCCCAGATGTCCAGTTCCAAATCAGTTATGAATATTTATTACTGTGCATATGTGCACGTGCATACACCTGGGATTGGTTTGTTACAGCAACAACCATTTCAGCTACAGAGTAGTAAATTTGGGTGAAAGAGCTTTTGCTCCTTTGTGTGTGAATCCAAATTGGGTGTGAATCACTTATTTCTGTCAAAAGCTGTGGGTCTTTTGGCAAAATCTTAATTTCTCAGAGCTCTGTTTCCTCATCTATAAACTGGGATAATAATGCTTTCTCCAACTCTCAGAGCTGCAGTGAAAATTAAATCTCATTGCCTCAGTAAAGTTCCTCTTGGCTCTGGGGTCCTGAAGGCTCAGCTCTCCTTGAACAGCATGACAGTGACCATGAGGTTTTGCTTAAGTATTCAAGAGTGTCTTACACCAAAGATTCCACCCTCGTCTTGGGCCAGGGTGCCACCCCCTCAATCAGTCTAAGATGGAACACTTCTTCATACTGTGTCCTTCATCAAGCCAATGAGATGTTCGTCTTCAAAAGTTAGCCTCTTCCAGATGTTTCCCTCAGTCTTGCCTCTCTCCAAAGTAGAGGCATCTAATCCCTCAGCCCAACTCCAGCTCAGCAATACCAACCCTTCCTTTCAGAGCTTGTTCAACTCGACCACGTCGGGAGCAATACTGACCTAATGTCTCCCATTTGTATGCTCCAGAAGGCTCAACACAGGAGTGCCTGGACCAAGAATTAGAAAATCAGTCAAGGCAGGTAGTACTTAGTATTTCCTGTTCAGAAGCAAAGAAACAGACTATAGTATCAGTGCGAAAGATCCAGTTCAGGGCAACAAAACCACCAAATCATTGTTTCAGCATGCATCATGCTTTGCCCCCAGATCAGTTTTATCGATGTCACTTAGAAAGCCATAATTTGAGACAAAATGGTAGAACAGAGAAAAACAGGGTTTTTCTGGAGCATGCTTTCCTCTGAGGAGGGCTGGTGGTATGTTGTGGATTATGCAAATAGGCAAGGTGGCCAGTTCAAAAGGAAAGTGAAGGAAAACACTGAGGACACATCAGCGGTAGCGCAGCTGGGGGACTCAGGGGACCATGAGCCACAGACAGTAATTAGATTTGGGGAGGACTTTTGGACAGAAATGCACAGGCTCACAGAGGTCTCTGGGTAGTGGGTCAAACACATAAGTGTTTGGGATGTCTTCATGCCAAGCACTGGCCAGGCTCTAGGGGAGTGGTATGTGCTCCTGCCACTCAGCTCACATAAGCCTCAGGAAGAAGACACCTACAGAAGTAGCTGTCAGCCACACCGTGCTGAGGAGAGACCTAACTGTCAGGTGAAGGAAGATGTTCAGAAGCCTTCAGGGAGACAGAATTGGACATGATGCGTACAACACATCATATGGCATTCCCAGCTAGCAGGAAAGGGTAGTCGCAAACAGAAATAGGAGGTAGAGAAAATATGTTGCAATTTTAGGTCACCTCTATACAAAAAAAATCAAGATTTTTAAAGCAAAACTGACAAATCAAGGTTTTTTATCTCAATATAATTGATCATAAAGTTACTTGAAAATTGCTAAATTTCTATGTGCAAGATAAAATACCTAGTTTTAAAGAAACTATCTGAATAAGAAAAAAAATGATGATTGGGAAAAATAAATATCAAAAGGTAACACCTCCAATGAATTAATGTTTGCCTCACTTGTGTCCAGGTTAAAAAAGAAGTCGGTGACGTGACCATCCTCATTAACAACGCCGGAGTTGTCACAGGAAAGATGTTTCTCGACATTCCAGATGACATGGTGGAAAGAACATTTCTTTTAAATGTCCTCTCTCATTTCTGGGTAAATCTTTCTTCTTCATTTTCTTTTGTTGATGGATATGAAAATTCCATGTATTTCTGCAAACAGTCATTCAGCCACTTATGGGTAATGTACCATTTGTGAGTTTTCCACTGATAAACTAGTGGCTTGTCCTGATCTCCAGGTTTCATCTAGCCAAATTCTCAGCTTTGTTTTTCCTATTCTTGCCCTATTCCAAATTCTCAGGGTAGGGCCTTTGTCTCTACCCTCTCTAGTTTGGTCCCAAGACTTATTAGGCTGTTCAGAAGTCTTCCTACCAAAACACAAACAGAATGTGACAGCCATTATACGAGAGAGATTTAATTTGTTCATGAGTGAAAGAGGATCTTGTGCAGAAAGACAGGGGCTATTTTTAGAGTGGTGGTTTATGTTCATGCATGACTTGGCATCACAACAAAGAAAACAACAGCAGGAGGAATAGTAATCATCAACATCTACTGAGCTCTTACTGTATACCAGGCTCCCTTCTAAGTTCTTTTCCTGCACATGGTAGCCATGGTGCTATTTCCATTCTTATTTTACAAATAAGGAAATTGAGGCTCAAAGGGTTTAAATGACTTACCCAGGTTGCTGCAACTGTAAGTGAAGGCTCACGCCTACAGAAGGGAAAAGTGAGAGAGAAGGAAAAACTCTTTACAGAGGAGAATTAGTAAATTTATAACTCAGGGGTGTCTTCTGGAGTGTCTAGACCAATGCTGTCCAGTAGAACCATCTGTGATGACGGGAATGTTCTTTTTCTGTGCTTCCCAATATGGTAGCCACTAGTCACATGGCTATCGAGCACTTGAATGTGGTTGGTGGAACTGAGGAACTAAACTTTTAATTTTATGTAATTTAATTCATTGAAATGTGTATTTAAATAGCCACATATGCCTAGAGGCTACCATCTTGGACAATACAACTCCAGAAAATAGATAGGAGGCCAAAGGAGACTTGAGTTACCAGGGGAATTTCCACCTAGACAGCTTAAACTTGAAGCAATAATGGAATTAAGAGGCACAAGTAGTGATAGGGCATGCAGGTGGCACAGGTGGCTGGAACCAGGGCCTCCGGAGCCATGGGGAAGGGAGGGAGAGGTAGGGCCTCAGTCCCCTGTGGCTCCAAGGATAGAACCTTGGAATGGGTTTGCTTTAGGTGTCCCAGGCTCCTCCTTCTTTCCGCTCAATGCTCCTATACCCACTCTCTGAGGCCCTCAGAACTGTTTCCTTGATCTTTCTTAGTCACTAGAACACCAATGGGCACGCCCACTGGAACCCAACAAAACTTTTTCAACCAATATTTAGTGAGCATCTAGAATAGTGCTTAACATACAGTAGATATTCCATAAACATTTGCAAAAATCACTGATTTCTTTCCCTCTCCAACTTTACCCCACCCCAAAACATTTTTGGGTAGGAGGAAATACCATCTTGGCCAAGAGAGCTAGGGTGCATCCATTTCTAATCACACCACTAATCTAAAAGCCATCCTTGATTCCTCCTTTCCCTTAACACCAATATCCTTGGCTCTCCCTACAAAACATGCTCAAGTGAAGTCATTTCTCTCCTTCTCTTCCGCCAGCCCTGAGTCCAAGCCATTGCCCCTCTCACCAGCAGCTCAACATGGCCTTCCATCCTCAACCCCAATGCCTTCTAACTGTCTTCAGACAGGAACAAAGTCATCTTTAAGCACCTTAACAAAATCACCTCATTCCCCTGCTCAAAAATGTTCAGAGGATTCCAAATGCACTTAGAATAATATGCAGTTACCTACCATGGCCTGTAAGCCTCTACCTGACGTGGCCGTATCCTTCTCCATCTGTCGCCCATCTCTCATTTTCTTTACCTTCTGCTCACTTGCGGTACTCCAAGCATCCTAATAACACCCCAGAGCACATGGGGCTCTCTCCTACATGAGGCAAGCTCTCTGACAAGAATATTCTTCCTCCTGACTCTCACACAGTGGCTCCTTCTCATCCTTCAGGTCTCATGTAGTCTCTGAACTTGTACATTTATATCGTGTGTTTTATTCTGTTTTGCTTGATTCATTCACATACTTATAGTAAAAGGTATTAATAAACACACATAGCCCTCTTGTTGAATGTCAGCAAATCTTGAGAAAAATGATGTTGAGCAACCACTAAAACCAAAGAATCTAAAGATTATGGAAGGAATATTCATTTACCACTACAAAATTCCAAGGTTTTTTTTATTTTTTACTGATCTTATTAGCTCCTGTATTTCCAGACTAGGGGACCAAAACCAAGAAATGTCTCCACCAAGGTTCACTCCTAGTATTTTTAACTATGACAGATTTCCTTTTTCTTGAGGTCCCTCAATCCCCGCCCCCCCCCCCCCAAGATTCCTGGCCTGCCAGGAAATGAACTTCCTTAATACCTGTAAGGCTGGGAGAGATCCTGTAAGTCTCAGTACAGGTATCAGTCCAGCTTCCTGAGAAGGCAGCTTGGTAGGCATTGCTTCCACAGACGAACTATAACCATTGTCCCTAAAAAGTGAGTTTGTCATACATGATTAAATGAAATTTATCCTTAGATAGGACACATCTGTGCTCTGGTTGCACTATCAATCTCCTCAATTATATCCTGGGAACAAGAATATCTGGCTCTAATTGGACCTATGATAATAAGCACATGGCCATGAAAGAGGAAGGATCTCAGTAATGGTCACTGTAATACAGTCATGCATTGCATAATGATGCTTCAGTCAACAACAGACCACGTATACAACAGTGGTCCCAGAAGATGAGTACCATGGATCCTAGGTGTGTAGTAGGCTATACCATCTAGGTTTCTGAAAGTACGCTCTATGTTGTTCACACAACAAGGAAATTGCCTAACATTGCATTTCTCACAATATATCCCCAACATTAGGTGACACACGACTATAGAATCTGCCTACTGCCCTAAGTAGGTTTGTAAACAAGGGCAATTAATATCTTTCACATTATCTATAAAATGGCTTGATTGTTTAGGGATATATGGTGGTTAGAATAAGTAAATTTCATTCCATATATTTGTCTGAGCTTAAGATGACATTCATTAAGAAGACATTCATCTAAAACCCAAGTTCAGAACTAGAATTATCGTCATCCTCATGTTCCTCTGGAGAGGTGTTAGTTTATAGTCCACGCTAAGATTCTCCATAAGGTATTTTTCCAGAATTCTGAAGGTAACAGTTGGAGTGAGATACATTTCCAAAAGAGTGTCATTGCAGGTTGCATAAGTATAGCTTCCCTAATTGAGGATTAGAAATAGATCAAGAAGAAAGGAAAAGGACTTCATATGCCCAACAGAAAATAGATCATTGACCACATTTAAATCTCCTCATTGATTCTGTAATCCACCCCTATACAGTTATTTGTGTTTTGCTGGTTCCTGGCCAGAGTCTGCTTTCATATTGTCAGCTGCTTCTGGACTAAAGAGGCCCTAGGGACCTGATTCAGTCCCTGCTGTGGCCTTACAAGTGTTCCCTCACAGTGGCAATGACAGCTCACACTGAAAAGCCTGTATCAACAGTCAACTCCTAGGTGCAGGCCTTTCCAGTGTGACTTTTAGTGAGTCCTGCTGTCCTGTCTTCTGCAATACAAAGTTTCTGTCTTGTAGCACCACAGGCTTCAGGCAAGATGCAGGAAGCCTGGAAACTTCCTATTGATGACAAAACTGAATGGATCGGATTAATTTATTTGTTCTCAATTGAAGAAAGTATAAACCTCTATTGAGGTATAATCCACAACTATTTCATACAAATTTGGTTAATTTTTGCAGTGAGAGCACTGACAAATCTTTAGAGCCCCTCTCTCCATCCTGGCAAGTATACAATTGCTGATGAAACATATTTGTATTAATAAGCTTACTCGGGAAAGGTTGAGTTTTTCTTTTTGACTTGACAGATCTTCCCCACATTTCCTCAAGGCAGATCCTAAAATAGTGTTAAGCTAATGAAGAAAGGTGGAGCATGCCAAATATACCTCATTGTTCCTAGCATCCCTGTTGCTGCTGATTCCATGTCATGGGTTTCAGCCAAGGGAAGAGGTCTTGCGTGCTTTAGTCACCTACAAAGTGCCAAAGATGACTCTGAATGCGGTAATACCTCCATAGTTTTATTTCTCTAAACAAAAGCATAGCTGAATGGTTATTGATATCTTAATAGCTAGAGTGACAATACAGTCTTTTTTAAACAAGCCTACAGAAGGTGACAGCATAATTAACAAGGAACCTAAGAGCTTTCAGACGTGACAAATTTTTGTTCTTTGTTTTAAGAATTCAATAGTGTGACAAAAGTTAGCTAAAGGGCTCAGAATATTCTGACAAGCTAGGAATCTCCACTCTTGGGGCAGATTACAGGAGGGTAAACAATAGTCTTTTAATACCTTCTTTATAGCAGACTGAATATTCTAAGGCCAATTTTAAGCTACCAGGTCCCTCAGCTTTATCATACATACCTTTATTTTGCTTATTAATTTTAATATGCATTATATACATGTATAATCTTAAACATATAAAATATATATATAGCTACATAACAATATCATTTTTAGCTGTCAACCTAACTTCAAAATATAATTAACTTTATCACCCTGTTAGAAGATAAGGTGTATGCCACATGGAACTCACCTTCTCAATTTCAGCTTTACAAAAAACAAGTCAAAACTGTGCTAAGAGGCTCCATACCTTTGCTCTGTGAATTTTTATTTCTTTTAAAACTTTATGGGGAACCAAAGATTTCCCATAAATTTACCCAACTTTAATATTATCCTAAAGCCTTCAAGCACTTACTTTGACACTAGAGGGTAATACGACCACTGGTGATATTAAAAGGTTGTCAAAAAGATGACATTGAAAAGTTGTAAAAGACAGTGCAACTAGACTAAGTCCAAACAATTTGCAAAAACTAAAGTTCAAAAACGTCAATCCTTTTCTGTGCTATAAAGTCACCATCTGTCATAATTCAATTTAACTGAACACAAATATTTGTATTCTTCAT